GTTTAGATTATACCTGACTAGCCCAGTGGTTTTTCCTACTCTCTTCAGTTTAAGTTTCAATTTTGCTATAAGAAGCTGATGATCAGAGCCACAGTCAGCTCCAGGTCTTGTTTTTGCTGACAATACAGAGCTTCTCCATCTTTGGCTGCAGAGAATATAATCAACCTGATTTCAGTATTGCCCATCTGGCAATATGTCATATGTATATGGTATACCATATATACCATATAGATATACATATACATATAATTATACATATTTTACATAATTATAGATATACATATAATTATATGTGTAAGTATACCATATAGTACCTCAAATGTCACATATGAAAGATGAGTGATCATGTTTACACAATATGCCACAATAATGCTTGTCTTTGTCAAAAGTCATCATTGTCTAGAGCAGGTTTAAAAAGTATCAAGACTATATCTTTGGCTTGAACATTAGCATTGACTACAAAAAGAAATGTTTAATTATGTTTACTTCTAAGCTACCGCATTATTTCCTCTTTGTGATTAAAACTGTCTTTGTTAGAAAAATCTGAAAATATATTGATCCCCTTTTCTCTCTAATAATGCACTTCTCTTTATTAAACGCTTCATTCACTTCAGAGCATAAAAGCATAGAGTTAACACATTAGGAGGCTGTCTTCCAAGACATAACACAAAGTCGCTTTGGGAAAAGTTTCTTTTGCATACACAAGTATATAAAGACACTAAGTTTACAGTATGAGCAAACTTAAAAGGACAAGGGAAAAGTTCAGCTTTAGAATCTGAGACTGAATAGCAGTGGAGGGAACTAACAATGAAGTAACAACCTATTCCAGATAACAGCTCAGTCAGTATACCATTATTGTTGTTATTATGACCCCATGGATCTGAGCACGCCAGACCCTCCTGTCTTCCACTGCCTCCGGGAGTTGGGTCAAATTCATGTTGGAAGCTTCAATGTCACTGTCCAAACATCTCGTCCTCTGTCGTCCCCTTCTCCTCTTGCCCTCACACTTTCCCAACATCAGAATCTTTTCCAGGGATTCTTCTCTTCGCATAAGATGGCCAAAGTATTGGAGCCTCAGTTTCAGGATATGTCCTTCCAGTGAACAATCAAGGTTGATTTTCTTCAAAATGGATAGGTTTGTTCTCCTTGCAGTCCAGGGGACTCTCAAGAGCCTCTTCAGCACCACAATTCAAAAGCATCAATTCTTTGGCGGTCAGCTTTCTTTATGGTCCAGCTCTCACTTCCGTACATCACTACAGGAAAAACCATAGCTTTGACTATTCGGACTTTTGTTACCAAGCTGATGTCTCTACTTTTTAAGATGCTGTCGAGGTTTGTCATCACTTTCCTCCCAAGAAGCAGCCGTCTTTTAATTTCGTGGCTGTTGCCACCATCTGTAGTGATCATGGAGCCCAAGAAAGTAAAATCTGTCACTGCCTCCATATCTTCCCCTTCTATTTGCCTGGAGGTGATGGGACCAGTGGCCATGATCTTAGTTTTTTTTTTGTTGAGCTACCATCTTGGTGGGAAGGTAAACAGCGTTCCAAATCTAAATCGCGCTGGCCACGTGACAACGGAAACTGTCTTTGGACAAACGCTGGCTCTACGGCTCGGAAACAGGGATGAGCACCGCCCCCTAGAGTCGAACACGACTGACTAAAATGTCAAGGGGAACCTTTACCTTTACCTCATCTGCCCCTTCGAAATTCAGCTTGTACTTCTGAGAGTTCTCGGTCCACCTTGTAGGATTTTGAGCATAACCTTGCTAGCGTGTGAAATGAGTGCAATTGCACGGTAGTTGGAGCATTCTTTGGAGCTGCCCTTCTTTGGGATTGGGATGTAGACTTATTTTTTCCAATCCTCTGGCCATTGTTGAGTTTTCCAAACTTGCTGGCATATTGAGTGTAGCACTTTAACAGCGTCATCTTTTAAGATTTTAAAAACTTCAACTGGAATGCCATCACTTCCACTGGCCTTGTTGTTTGCCATGCTTTCTAAGGCCCACTTGACTTCACTCTCCAAGATGTCTGGCTCAAGGTCAGCAAGCAAACTACCTGGGTTGTCCGGGATATCCAAATCTTTCTGATATAATTCCTCTGTGTATTCTTGCCACCTCTTCTTGATGTCTTCTGCTTCTGTTAGGGCCCTCCCATTTTTGTCCTTTATCATGTCCATCTTTGCACAAAATGTTCCTTTAATATCTCCAATTTTCTTGAACAGATCTCTGGTTTTTCCCTTTCTATTATTTTCCTCTATTTCTTTGCACTGTTCATTTAAGAAGGCCCTCTTGTCTCTCCTTGCTATTCTTTGGAAGTCTGCATTCAATTTTCTGTAACTTTCACTATCTCCCTTGCATTTGGTTTCCCTTCTTTTCTCTGCTAATAAGGCCTTGTTGGACAGCCACTTTGCTTTCTTGCATTTCCTTTTCTTTGCGATGGTTTTCATTGCTGTCTCCTGTACAATGTTACGAGCCTCCATCCATAGTTATTCCAGCACTCTATCCACCAAATTGAGTTTCTTAAATCTCTTCTTCACTTCCACTGTGTATTCATAAGGGATTTGGTTTAGATTATACCTGACTAGCCCAGTGGTTTTTCCTACTCTCTTCAGTTTAAGTTTGAATTTTGCTATAAGAAGCTGATGATCAGAGCCACAGTCAGCTCCAGGTCTTGTTTTTGCTGACAATACAGAGCTTCTCCATCTTTGGCTGCAGAGAATATAATCAACCTGATTTCAGTATTGCCCATCTGGCAATATGTCATATGTATATGGTATACCATATATACCATATAGATATACATATACATATAATTATACATATTTTACATAATTATAGATATACATATAATTATATGTGTAAGTATACCATATAGTACCTCAAATGTCACATATGAAAGATGAGTGATCATGTTTACACAATATGCCACAATAATGCTTGTCTTTGTCAAAAGTCATCATTGTCTAGAGCAGGTTTAAAAAGTATCAAGACTATATCTTTGGCTTTTTGATATAATAACATTTAAACCTGTATGGTCAGGATGCTCATGGAAAATTAAAATTCAGTGTTCTGCTGTCACCGGCAATATGTCCAGCCTTGTTATGGATGGAATCATATAAAGCATGTATGCATTCTTGTATACTTTGTGATGCTTGTATTTGGATTGTGAGACTCCAGCTTTCTGTCTTGGAAGACTATTTCTCTTTTTCTTTTAATTAACCTCTGTTTCATATTTATTTTGTGTACAGATTGATTCTCTCCAATTTTCTCTTCTTTTCTCTTTTTACTTGGTTGGACCTTGCCAGAAAACTAACATTTACTTTTACAACTTTGCCAGCCTTTGTTATTTATGCAGCTAGTTGCTATTAAACTGAATTAAAATTCTTGATTCTCAGAACTAATTTAAAATATTCTATAATTAATTACCTTTATCCTATAATTAGTTAAATGGGATCATTAATTTTAAATAAACAAACAAATACCTATGCATGTTGGTGGTTGCGTCCAATGACCATTATCACAAGTTACTTCTGCATTTCCATCCATTCTGTACAGGTTTTGGCATTTATAGTGCACCTTTTCTCCCGACAGATATTCAGACTTGGGCATTTCCAGGATGTCTCCATTGTCTATAGAAGGTGGGCGATCACATCTTCCTGCAACAGCTGTAGTGGCACATTGAATTGGAGAAGGGAACTGTTAAATGACACATTAATAAGACATCACAAAGCTCACGACGATTTACACAAACGTGCCAAGCATTATCATGTTGGCAAATATCAAAGCGGGCTGCAGAAATTTTATTGCCATGCAGGATCATGATTATCAATCAAGGAGTAGAAAACTTCCCCACCTCTCCCACCATGTCAAAAGAAATTCCACATATTTGCCTGAACTTCCAATATGAAGGAATAACAAATCTTCTCTGTGAATCAGTAATTAACTGATAAATGCTGGTGGAAATTTATGAGAAAAGGAGAAAGTGAAGAGAAAGCTATTCAAGTACAAGCCAAAAGTATAACAGCATAAATCCTCTGCTACAGCAATTGTAAATGTCTCCATCAGGAGGGAAGTGGAAGAGCGGAAAGCTGAATGTAAACATGTAAAACAAAATGAAGCAAAGTATCACAGAGAACGTATTCGCGAAGGCTTTCACGGCTGGGATCTAATGATAGTTGTGGGTTTTTTGGACTCTTTGGCCATGTTCTGAAGGTTGTTCTTCCTAACGTTTCGCCAGTCTTTGTGGCTGGCATCTTCAGAGGACAGCACTCTGTGCTCTGGTGTAGTTTGCTTGGGAGTGGAGTATTTATGGCTGTGAGATAGGCTTTTGTCCTATTCAGGAGATGGGTGATTAGTGTGTCTTGTTGTGGGTGTATTGTTGTGATAAGAAGAGATTATCTGTCACTGTGATGATGGGTGTCATTAGCTAGTCTTTTATGTGTAGTGATCCCCGGTCCTTGTGACTGGGTAGAGGTCGCTGATCTTTTGCACGCTGTATTTTTGAAAGCTGGAAGCCAAGTTTTGTTGAGTTTCAAACTTTCCTCTTTTTTGAAGTTCTGCTGGTGCTTGTGGATTTCAATGGCTTCCCTGTGCAGTCTGATGTAATGATTGCTGGTGTTGTCCAGTATTTCAGTATTTTGAAATAGAATTTCATGTCCAGCTTGTTTTAGGGCATGTTCAGCTACTGCAGATTTTTCTGGTTGTTTTAGTCTGCAGTGTCTCTCATGTTCTTTGATTCTGGTGTGG